CCCCAAAACCCCAAAACCCCAAAACCCCAAAACCCCACATATATGTATTATTATTTTAGAAGAGCATTTTCTATTTACAAATATTAATTAACCCTTTTAAAATTTTATATATGTGGGTATTACAATTAAAGCCATTATTACTAATAGCTATCAAGAAAAAGAGGCTCAGAGATTAGGTACTGGGAAGCCAAGTGGCATTTGAGTGAGTTTACTCACAAAATTTATCATCTTACTCAAGCCTTCCTGTCCCAGCCTAATCCCTCTAGTCGTCTCTTTGTATTTACACCTCTCAAAAAGGTACACTTTTTAAACATGTTCAATATTTTCTCTTTTATTATCTTTGTACATTCTATTGATGGTGGTGATTCTAATTATGGTGTTTGTTGTTGTTACTATTCATATTCATATTACCATCTACTTACAGGTACTCGTTCTACTACATGTAACCACCATTGTTATTATTTGCACTTCTACTGTCTACAGAGTTATTTACAATCTATTGAGGTTGAATCATATTATTTGGCTGTTAAGGACCAACCCCTGGACCTCCTGAACTCATTTTTTCGATGAAGTTGTACACATGTCTTGAGTAGTTAGTCTATTTTCTTAGGACGTTCGCGCAAGCAGTTATTCTTCTCATCAGAATTTCCCTTTGCTTGCCCTTGCTGACTTCGATGCACTTCTAAATAACATAGTTTCCATATCTGTCTTTCATCATCTGATAGAGCACTCCGTTTTGATTAAGCGCAACGTCCTCATCGAAATTCTAATCTAAAAACTCCTCAATCAACTCAAATTTGTCTTTCTCACTTGCATACTAGAGACACTTCTCAACAACATTGCTTGCGAATTTATGATTGCTAAGCTCAATGACCTTTCCCTTGATGCTCTTTACTATTCTGTTTTTGTCCTCTTAACTTCTGCCATGCTCGAGCACATGCTGAATCACGTAGTTACCAAACTAGTCCATGGTGAGGGAGTGAATCTCGGCCAAAATCTGATCGATGATGGGTCTTGTGTACAGCTCGTTGCTGTTTTCAAGCACTCTCTGAATCACTCTGCAGCCGTAGGTATGAACGCACAACTGACAGGCCTAGTCAATAACTGGGGTGATAATGAATTCAATTTAGTCGCACGGCATCTTTTCAATGCACTTCTAGATTACATGATTTCCATTCTGGTCGTTAATGCAGTCAATGATGTTGTCCTTCAACTCTGAAACCAGCAACTTCTGCTGCTCAATGGAGATCACTTCAAGAGCTTTCTGCACCACTCTGCACCCATACATGGATTTAGTCAGCTTCAAAACGTTTCCAAGCAGTTGCTCTGCGAGAATTGATCTGTGCTAGTCAGTGCCGTATTCAAAGAGCTTTTGCACTACGTAGTTACCAAAGACATCATTCATTAAGTTGTAAGAGTCAGGCAAGATTTCAGAAAAGATAAGTTCTTTTTCCTCGGGAGTAGTGACATCATATTTTTGCTGAATGAATCTTGAACCGTATTAGTCCATAGCGCACTCAACAATATGGTCTTTCAACTCTGCGATTTCAATTTTCTTTCCATTTTGAATCTTATGTCTTAACTCTTCCAAAAACTCACTCTTTGGTAGTTCGACTACCTACATCTGTAAAGTTGCTTATTCTTGGTTTTCAGGATTGCCCATGTTAACCTGATTTTAGTTGCTATTATTATTGTTACTATTCTGACTGTTACTACTGCCTTTGAAGCCACCTTTACCCTTATTGTGGCCTCCTCCACCACCACCTCCTTTCTGGTTGTTGTTAAAGTTTCCTTGCTTCTTTGGGTAGTTCTAATACTGATTTTAATTGTAGCCGTATTACTGCTACTAGCCATACATGCTTTGCGGATACTGATTATAGCCCATAACTGGGGGCATGCCGAATTGGTTGGGCATGCCAAACTACTACTACTGAGGGGGCATTCCGAAACCAGGCATCATGATTTGATTGAAAGGCTAGTTTTAAGGTTGCATCATTTGATATCCACCCATATTGTTAAAATTACCTGGCATTTACCCTTGATTTATAGGCATCCCCATGTTGTTATAAGCTGGGAATTATTAGTTTTACTGCCATTGTTAGCCTGGGTACATAGCCTAGGGATTCTATTGTGGCCAAGATTAGGTTGAGTAAGGGAACTTTTAAATATCATTGCCACCTTACATGTTCATTTACTAAGGATTTTACATCTGTTTGTTGTCAAATTATCCTGCTGAGCCTCCATAATTGTATGGTTAATTCAGCTAATGTGAAGATGACTTATTAAGTTTAGGCATTTAAGGAGGTTGTTAGATATGAGAATGGCTTTACGATTCGCCAAGTCCTCCAGCTCCTCCTTGCTTATGCTTATACTTTTTGTTATTTCCTCTAAAGTTATTGCTATTACTTCCGCTATTGTTCAAATTTTGATTCATGTTACTTGGTGATGATATCATTGGATTCTACTGCATTGGTGGCATGAACTATTAAAACTGATTCCCTCCCATAAAAACTTGCTAATTAATAGGCTGATTCATTTGCATCTATGGAGGGGGATACATCATTTATTGTTGTTGCTATTGCTATTGAGTGTTGGGGAATTAATTCATAGATCCCTATTTTTATTGCTACATTTTGGCTTGCTGATTGAATTGCTCGTATGAAAGATTCTGGTTGTTTTGAGGATCATCAAGTGTAAGGTTTTCCATTTTTCTTTCAAACTCGTCCAACTTCTGTATGTTACCTAAGATGTTAATGTCACTCTAGGTTTTAATCTTTTTAAAGGAATCTAAATCAACAGGTGGTTGATAAGTTGGCTTGGGAAGTCTGGGATTGTGAGGCTTGATGCTGTTATAATAATCAAAGTACTCCTTTGTCGAGAATATCTCAATTTCCGATTACTGATGCTACTGGCTGCCTCCCTTATTCATCTATTCCTAAATGAATAAGGACTATTGGTCGACTTGATTTCCAACTCCAAGTCCAGCATTTATGCTTATTCCGCTTCCAATGAGAGACTAATTTTATTGAAAAAGATCCTACTATTGCTATTGCTGCTGCGAGTGTTGTTATTGCTGATTCTGCGAGTTTTATTGCAACTGCTGTTATAATAGGAACTATTGCTATAGTTACAGGTCTTACTATTGTTAGGGATTCAGGGAAAAATCGTTATTAGAGGGTCTACGCATTTGCTCAGAAGGATAAGGCTCGCCCACTTGGTTGGAATATATATTGTTAAAACCTTAAGATACTAAGGGGTTTCCAAATCCTTATAATTTTTTGCTCTGAGGGGAATCCTAAGCAAAGGCTCCGAATTTCTAAAAAGCATTAAGTTAGTTCTACCTTACCGCACTAATATCAGTAGCAGGCGCTGATCCGACTCTCTCCGGGACATTACTGAAAGGTCCCCCAAAAGGCCCAGAGGCTCCGATGCCAAATCCAACACCATATCCAGATTTCATGATGGATCTCTGTCCCTCTCCATCCGAATCTAATCGCGATTTCGTTATTATTGCAATTGAATGAGTCAAAATTACCTGAATTATCCTCTGCAAGGATGTTCCCGATTAGATGGCTTTCATTTTCATTGGTCTGAGGATCGTTCTGATGCGACATTATTTTCCTTGCCAAATGATAATAATTTTATAAATTTAAGAAATCTGTATTGCCTCAAATCATTCATTAATTTAGTCGATGGGGTTTTGGGGTTTTGGGGTTTTGGGG